TTCCATTCTATTCCATTCTATTCCATTCTATTCCATTCTATTCCATTTATTCTATTCTATTCTATTCTATTCTATTCTATTCTATTCTATTCTACCCTACCCTACCCTATCCTATCCTATCCTATTCAACAGCAATGTTGACCCCTGAGTGTGCAATATTTGAAGAAAGGAAAAAACTGCACGAATCGAGCAGGAAAATGACCACGTCTTGCATCTCAGGACCATTTTTCTTCTTTGGCTCTTGGTTTGTCCAAAACAAATCCATGCATCAAAAGATCAGGCTTTTAACTTGTGGAGTAGGAACCGACTCCTGTCTTTGTCCTTCTCCAAAAGGCCACATTGCGTGCGTTAGCAAACTGATTTTTGCTCCAGTTTGGAGTCTTATTCCCTACTACATCCATCTTTTCGGGTGTCTTTCGGGATGGTCGTGCAACACACAATATGTGCTTACGTGACCTTTCCAGAAAACGTTGAGGATACAGTAGGAGAACAGAGAGCTTGCACTGGAACTTCGTATTCCTCTACCGCTGACCAGTTTGGCTGGGCTGAAAGGTTGAATTCCAAACCCCTGGAGGCCACTACTTTTACCCTTCTTTAATTTATACTCATCCTGTCTTGCGAGTTCCTCTACTCGCTCTGGGTTCTTGTACAATTCTGAGAAACCCAAGATTTATAGAAATTTGCTGAGGACCATATGTGGTCCAAGAAGACCTTGCCAACTATTGGCAATCCTTTAGTTACTGTATTTTTCGGAGCATAAGACGCACCAAGGTTTTGAAGAGGCAAATTTTTAAAAAAAGGTTTTGCACTCTGCAGACCTCCCAAAAATGGCCCGTTTTTTGCAGAGACGGGGCTGTTTTTTGTTTTTTTTTTTAAAAAAAAGGCATGAATAGCTTTAGGGAGCCTTGTAGAGTGTTCCTGGGGGGGTGGGGAGTGGAGGGAAACGAGCACAAAATGGCCCATGTTTTGTCAAAAAAGGCATGCATAACCTTTAGGAGCTTTGCAGAGTGTTCCTGGGGGCTGGGGGAGCAAAATTGAGCAAAAAATGGCCTGTTTTTTGCTCATTTCTGCCCTCCCCAGCCCCCAGGACCACTCTGCAAGGCTCCCTAAAGCTATTCATGCCTTTTTTTAAAAAAAAACAAAAAACAGCCCCGTTTTTGCAAAAAACGGGCCATTTTTGGGAGGTCTGCAGAGTGCAAAACCTTTTTTTAAAAAAAAACAA